CAAATATCACGTACTTCCATGGTGGTACATTATAATATGAGCCATAGTCTAAACTCCTAGTATCCCCGTTAATAACCCCTATAGTAGTCCCCTATATAATCCCTTATATGACCCCCTTCAAGGAGTTTAGACAATAATTCATATATTGGGAATTTCTGCCCCAAAGGTCATGCCGAGCTCGCCACTTGATGAGGGGCAGCCGCGAATTCTGGCAAGGATATCCTTGCAGCTCTGGGTGCTGTCAGTCTAGGCGTTGGCCAAAACAGCCCTCAGACCATGCCTGAGAAGGTCCCACGAATACCTCTGTTCTGAGAAATCTGTATATGAGGGGCCGCCACAATTCTGGAGCCTATGGTAAAGCTTCCTTGAGGAAGAACTCTACTGTCTAGGGGCGTTGGGACCGCCTCTTCGTGGCACATAATCACAAAATGGTTGCCATGCTAATTACAAGCTTGAGCATTGTAGCCACTTCCGTTGGACACATGGTGGTTCTTTCTAACTTCAAAGTGGCGGCGACTTCTACTGGGTGGGAGGCACTATCCAGTAGAAAGCAATGGCAAGAATAGTTCCTGATCGGAATACGAAGTCTAACAATTTAATATAATATGATATAACATGATAACATATGAGCTATAGTCTAAACTCCTAGTATCCCCCTTAATAACCCCTATAGTAGTCCCCTATATAATCCCCTATATAACCCCCTTTAAGGAGTTTAGACTACAGCTCATATAAATTAACAATGACAAACAAGGCAGCCGCCGCTAAAGGCCAGGATTCGGCAGTAGCAGCGAGTGGTGACGAATCTGTTCATGCCTGCGGCACGGGTGTGCGAAGGCTTGTGGCTTGCATGCTAGTTTGCAGATGGATGCGTTGTGCGCTCCTAAACTGTGGTCTCCTTAGAGCTATGATACAAATACAATTTTTAATATTTCCTTAGGGCTATACTATAATATAAAATACAAAATCCAAGGACAGTACAGTAAACCCTAAATCCTAAACCCTTAACCATGTTTCAGTACTGCAGAAGCTCTCGGCATCCTACGAAGTCAGCTTCAATGTACCTAAGTACGGAACATACCCAATCTAGAGCCAGTCTCCCTTAAGTAGATAGAACATGGGGTATTTAGGCTTTAGGGTTTGAGTAATATCCTGCTTCTATAGCTTTTTGCATGCCTGTTATAGATGACGCCAGTTTTTCCGCAACACCCGATTTTTAAGTAATAAGCATTTGAAAAAAAGAGACTAAAATCCGCAACCCCTACGGAAGCAGGAGCCTGATCATATAGCATCCTCTTAAGCATCCCACTTTCCTGTACTGTCCCTTGTAGAGCCCCCGAAGCCCAGATATGTGTAAATAGATCTAGAAAGACAACCTGATGTACAATCTGCCTTGCAAGAACACCTATAGCCACATCCGGATTCGCACTAAAGCGCTAATGCCTCATTCGAGCTGTGGGTGGCTTGATGAGCAGGTCCACAAACTGACGAGCCTCCACCACTCAGGGCTTGGATTCAGGCTTTTCAGGACATAGGGTTCAGGGTTTAGGATTTAGGGATTTTGGGGTTCTGGGCAACCTTGAGGATTTGGGGTTTCAGGGCTTTAGAGGTAGCGGTGATGCTTTCAGGCGGTTCTGTCGGGGATTGGATAGGCCTACATAGCGTAAGGTGTAAAGACTCAAAGAAGATGGAATCTGCCATATTATCAGGGGTTATACAACGGGACCACTCCACGGATCCAATTTTTGATTCCTTCTTAACCAGGAACGAGGGGTAAGTAAACCCTGAACCAGCAGCTACCTGGAACATGAGGCAGCACACTCTTTTTTGTTCCGCCGCGGTTGCGTGCGCTGTTCCTGTGATCAGATTTTCGACGGTAGGCAATCTACGTCCTCAATGAGGCAAAGAAGAGCAACCTAGGTATACTGCAACTTTGAAACGTAGTGGCGCCCTGCTTTGCCAAACGAAAGCAAGACCTTCAAAGTAAAGCCCATAGACGAGACTTACATGATATGCAGGACTTCTGCTCCTTCTGCTGGATGTGACTATCCCTTTCAGCTGCCAGATATGTATCCAGCCCTCACGGGATCGAAGATGTGTCTCAGGAAACTGTGTATCCCAAGCGCCGCTGATACTCCTGAGTAATCGCCAAAAAAGCATCTTCTGTTCTAGTCTGGGGTTTAAGGTTTTCAGCTTGGAGTGTAGTGGTCCCCTACTCATGGTGTTCCTGGGCATCCTCATCATTAGGTCCCTATGAAAGAAGTTTGCAAATTTCTGGCATAATCCTACCCAGCAAAAGTCTTCTGCCATTTTTGCCCATACCTGCGGCGCTCGACCAGAGCAAGATGCGTTTGCAGAGTTCGGCAGAGTAAATCACCAATCAGAAGGCATCAACACCAGAATCAACGGCACTTGAAGGAGCTCGGTTCCACAAAATTCTGCGACGATGATTCTGAATGCAACTGCAGAATAATCTAATAGCAAAAAAAAAAAATAATGATAATACGACTAATAGTAGTAATGACAGAAATGGGTGGTTGCCAAGATTATGGTTCCTTTTTGGCTCCCTATTATAATACGGCACCTAATATCTAGGCTACCCAAAAAGGGATCAACATTTTGACATCCACCTAAATAATAATGCCTGTAAAGCTCCCAGACCTGAGCGACTTGGAGTTCCCAAACTGATCCTTAATCGCAGCGAAAGAACGCGGACAACATGACTTCTCTAAACTGGCCTCAGAACACCACTAAGAATTATAAACTTTTGGTTGTTATTAGGATTATGGTAACCCAAAATTACAAGAATGGAGGCCCCTATAGGTCTGTGTTTCAAGGAAGGGAGGGGCATCAGGAGGACCTTCCAAAGTTGGACCCATGTGCAAGCAAGCAACCTTCTGCTCACAATTTAAGAAGCATTTCCAAAAAGCTTTGCTGAGAGACCGAACAGGAAATAGAAGTAGCCATCATTACTATTTGGCTCAAAACCAGAAGCAACAAAGGAAGTACTTGTTACAATAACCAAAGAAGAGGAAGCATCCACCCTTCCCCAAGCCATCATGGAACCTCATCTAGTCCCACAGAAAGTTCCATGTTAGTCTGGGGAGGGCATCCATCCTGTTTATGGCTGACCTAAATCCTAAACTGGTAGAACATACACACGCGCAAGTCCTGGACTTGACGATGTACCTGGGATGTTGGTGAGTTTAGGGCTTGGGCTTCAGGGCTTAAACTTTACCGAAAGCAACTACAGGATGAGAGTTACCTAAGCCTTACCCTAAACCCTAAACCGCCCCTTATACACTCCAAGGGTCCCTATATGCCCTTACATACCCCCTCTAGAAACTCCATCCCCAATTTCAAAACTCCCCTCCTGTAGTTGGTCCCAAGTTTAGGGCTTCACTCCATGCTGGGGTGGTCAGTAAGGAATGGGATTTTAGGTTGCAGCCACGATTCTAGGAGCTTTTTTACGCATTACTGTTGTCTTGCATTCCCCAGAACCCCTAAAGCACCGCAACTCCCGGGGATCGAGGGACTGAAGCTGGCGATTTCCCCCATCAACCGCGAGGTTGGGTTACTGCTTAGCATAATTGTTGGTTCTACATTGGCTTCAGGGTTTAGGGTCTTTGACTCTACAAAAGATGGAAAATGTTCTCCAACAACACCCGAAGGACATCTTTGAGTGATGGGAGCACCGACAGGGCCTCTTGCTCACCTCTTCTGCCGATTAGTAGTCTAGGATGGAATGCGATATGGTTTTTTTTATTGGAGGTGCATAGGGACTACTAGACAGAAGTCTCCATCCATGCCCTACTAACCACCAGTAAGTCACAGTCTTTGTCGTTGCTGTGCTGATCTGTCTCTTTGGTGGTAACGCGATGCATGTCCTCTAGCTGGGCATAGAGCACCATCTGACGACGCTCCTCAGTCTTCCCATTCAAGAATCTTTGGGCTTCTGAAGGGCTTACCCCGGGGACATAGTCCCCCTTGAGTAGATCGAAGATGGAAATGGTCAACATCATAACAAGATCCCCATATACCCCAACTTCTATCTACTTGAGGGTGACTATATCCTCGGGCTCTTTGAGAGGGCACCCTGATACTCTTCATTCATACTCTAAGGAGCCCGGACCACAAGAAAATGGTTGATACACGGAATCCAGGTTCTTCTGGGGAGATGAGATCTTCGAACATGAAGTCCGCCATCTGCTCTACCGTCCGGTCGAAGTCCTCTAGTCAGGAACCGGTGGGTTCGTGGGGAAGAGTCAAGAGACCCTAAAGAATTAAACCAGATGACCTATAGCCTAAAACCCTAGTATCCTTCTTAATATCCTCTGTAATACTCCCCTGTATAATTCCCTATATGACCACACTTTCAGGAGTTCAGACTATGGCTCACTCAGATGAAGCACAAGCAGGACTTCTCTACTATGAGGCTTTTCAAGGACTCAAGAGATCCTCTGAAGACCGGGAAATGTTCTCGTAGCGAACAGCCAGGGTATCATGGCCCCCAATCTCCACGGCCCCTGTCATGCACTCCAGCACGCCAAACATGCCATCCGACCTCGAGCGTCTTCTCACGAAGCCACCAAAACCCAGACCCGTGGGAGGATCTTACTCCAAGGGTCTGGTAACATGGGGGTTATTTTCAACATTTTGGGCCTCTTTTGGTTATAGATTATACTATGGCACCTGATACTTAGGTACCAAAATGGGACCCTAACTTTGGAGCAGGTTCATGGCAGGCTTTGGTGTACGACTGGATGGAGACTCCAACTTCCGCTTTCAGCAATGGATTTTATATTGGGGTTATATGAAGGTTATACTGGGGTTATATTAGGTTATATTGGGGTTATCTTAGGGTTCTATTAGTTAAGAACTCTCTACTACAGAAAAGACAAGACCAGGAACAACAAGAAGTCTCGAGAAAGACTCTCTAGACCCTACACTCTACACGCGAAGCGCTACACCCTACGGATCCTTCAGTCGAGCGACAGCACCGCCATACCCTCCGCAGGGCCCATGGACATAATGCCCGGCCACGGCCAGGGCCTTCTATCCGGTGCTGGCTGGAGCCCATACCTCATGGCTATGGGGTTCGTAGCCCCCCTTATGTAGATAGAACTAATAAGAGGTATATGGGGATCTTACTGTAACATGGGGTAACTCTACATTCTATCTAAGGGGGACTACAGGGTTTCGGTGGCTTTGTCAGGTTAATGTTCTACTGCTACATCCAGGAATTCCCCCTTGATTCGGCAATATTGCGTGCTTGAGTAGAACACATTTTGGCAGCATTCAGTTTCCTGTATGATAGGAACCTTTCAAGGAAAAAAACATCCTCGAAATTCAAAACAGCTCTTGAGGTCCTGAACCCCCAGCCCTAAACCATCTTCCACAAAATTCTGGGTTGCTCTTAAGGAACATAAATTCAGTCACCACAATGGGTATATATAGTAAATAATAGGGTTTCCCCAATACAGTAACTTAATTTAAGTTCCTTAACAGCAACCCACAATTACCTCAGACCCTAAACCCTAAACCCTAAACCATAAACAGATACTCCTCGCCCCGGTGGTGGTAGCAGTAGGCAGATGCCAACATCACCGCAGGATCTCGGATCATTGTCACGGCTCGCATGGCGCCTTTGGAGATGCCCCGTAGATTCAGGAGGCTCTGAGGGCAGAGATCCTTGTCAAAGCGAATACCTTCGTCATCATGAGAGCACAATCCATAATGTCACTGGGTTGCTGTTAAGGAACTCAATTGAAGTTTTTACATTGGGGAAACCCTATTACTCATTATATATACCCATTATGGCAACTTAATGTTGAGTTCCGTAACAGCAACCCAGGTGATGGGAGACATTCTGAAATCAAACGGGTGAGGGAAGACTTCCTGACTTTGATGTAGGAACCCCAAAATAGCAAAAGATATCTAAAGCATGACCAGTTGCGGGCATTAGGGCTATCGGAGCAGTTGTGCATTCCATCGGTGGTCATGAGACCCCAGTCGCCCGCAAACTGTACTTGGCAGGAGTATGTGGCGCCGAGCACATAAAACATGCGTCCCGTCAAGCGCCTGAGCAGTATGGTTCCTGCTTTGTGGTTCGTTCCCACGAGGTACCAGTACACATCCCAGGGTTTCTGCTTTGAGGAAGCTAAGACAGTCTCCATCCGAGCTTGCAACATGTTCATGGCCGCGCACTCCACGCTCGAATCCAGTTCAATTGGCTCCTTGAAGCTGGAACATGCAGAGCCGTCCCCCAGACTGAGGGCAGATGCCAAGCAAAATGCCCAGATTGAACGCATTTAAGGCATTGATGTGAGGCCCGGTTGGAGAGATTTCCTTGCCTGGGCCGGAAAAGACTTGGCAGAGCCAAATGTGTAAATCGTTTTCAACGTGGAACCCTCACACCTTAGCGGCCTAAATAGATAGCATAGGGGTTTACAGCGCATTGTAGGTTTTCAAGGGCGGAGAGGAGGACTTAGCCAACCGGTGGATAATACTCTGGCACCAGAATTCCTGCTGCAAGACCATGCAACCATAGACACTGTTTTATATGAACTTCCAGTCCGGCAAGGTAGCATTCCTCCCGATTCTGGGTTGCTGTCAAGGAACTTATTTCAAATTATTATATTGGGGAAACCCTATTAATTACTATATATACCCATTATGGTAACTTTATGCAAGTTCCTTAACGGCAACCCAGGATTTCATGCTAGTGAGGCTCCAAGATCAAGCCGAGAGCTAGTGACCGCTGTTTACCACAATTCGGCGTTGAGATGTTCATGATGATCGTGATTACCATCGTTGCTTCCTTTGCATGGTTGTAAGACGGCAGCTGCTCTCACTCATCATGACGGTTGTGGTGCTATGCTGATGGTGACTGTTCTGGTTGTTAACTACTCGCCTTGCCTTTTTTCACCCCCATACCTTAGGAGGGCTCCCCCACCCTGTAATAGTGTTATAACAGGAACATAAGAGGACCCTAATATAATCCATATTATCACCTATAGTTACTATTACTTGTTGGGGGTCCCACCTAACCTATACCGCTGCAGTCTCTACTAGACCCTAAGCCCGTCATGGCTGGACCGGCAGACGCAAGATGAATTGCTGCAACACCCAGGGCTCATGGTGACGAAGCGAGAGAACATTCAAGTGCAGGCATATACACACTGTAGGGCTTCCTGCTAGTAATTATCTAGATTGCTCCAGTCAATTGCTTCTTGTGTCTCGTGGCTGTTGCAACTAGCCAGCAATGGCATGCTTCTTAGCTTTGCATCCTAGCCCTTCAAAAAGCAAGGGCTTATTCTTGCCATAAGTGCATGGAGGATTATGCAAATCTCTTAACTTAGGAGAATGGAGGTAGACTCCCCCATCCAGTAATAGAAACTATGAGACAAGCAGAAATCCATGCCTCGGACGCTTGATCTGGCGCTGCTTGCTCCATGCCTATGTCGTCAGAGCTTTGTGGCACATGTGTTACCGGCCACTGTGATACTACGACTGTAGGTACTTTAGAAATATGAAGGCCCCTGATCATCATGCAGAGAACCCTATGTTAATCCCTAGTCTTCCTACTCATCGAACCACTTCGCATTCTGAAAAACTTGTCTGGAGTCCGGGTCAGCAACAACGACAAGCCAGTTGGATCTTTCTTTGGTACTGTAGGCCTCCTTTGCCCCAAAACTCTCCATGTGAGCTATATAGTCTAAACGCCTAGTATCCTCCATAGTAACCCACATAGTAGTCCCCTATAGAATCCCCCATATAACCCCTTTTAAGGAGTTTAAACTATGGCTCATGTTAGCCCTGCCTTGGAATGGAGGGAAATTATCTCGGATGCAGCGATCCAACATCGTCCAGTCGTAAAGGTGAGCCTGGCTTCTTCAGCTTCAGCCCACGACAGCAGCGGAATGATGTAATAACGATGATAAGAATGGAGTTGACAAGAATTTAGCATCAGAATGACTACAGTGTTAAACATCAACATGATCATGTTGCAGAAGCAGTGATGCGATGCCACTTTTTGAGAATCTTAGCCGACGTGAGAAACGTAGCAGCACCGCCTGCCACTCGTTTCTCACAGCCATTGGAGGCACCTCCAACGGGAGTTCTCCAAAAAGGAGTTCCAGGATTGTATAGGAGCTCCCCAACATGGCACTCACACATCCTCTATCCCTGTAAGGTCATCATATAACCCAATATATACCCTATTACGAAATGTTAGTTTCCAGTTTTTATTTTCCATTATCCCAATACCTCAATATAACCCCAATATAACCCTAAGGGGACTTCCATGATCCCCCTGTACTTCTTGAGCGACCCTTGTGTCAGCAAGTCAGTAACGGTACTCTGTGATACATTCCGTTTTTTTCAAAACCCGATGTCCATCAAACTTACCACCATCCAAACCGTGCCTGTACTCATCATGATCCGGCTGAATCAAGCACTGAAGGATTTTCAAGATTACGGTGCATAATTATGTGGATCTCCGTATACTATACTACTGGTCCCAATATGGTACGCTGGATTACGGGGGCTCTGCGGAAACCATCATGTTCGATGACACGCAGATACAGTTTTGTAGGGGGTTATATGGGGGACTCTTGTAGGGGTTATGACGGGGGATGCGAGGAGTTCAGGCTATAGCTCATATGGGTGGTTGCCAAAATTATGCTCCCTTTTTGGGTACCTAAATATACGGTGCCGTATTATAATAGGGATCCAAAAAGGGACCATAATTTTGACAACTACCCAATATGTTGAACACAACCTCCTCCGAATGTAACGGATGTTCCCCAAAGATTGCAATGACTCTGGTCATGATGATGGAAATTCCTGCTACATTGACAAAAGGTTACACGGCTTGATGCCAACTATGTATGGCGCAGGAACAGGATATCTAAACCCTAAACCCTAAACACTAAACCCATGCGGAATATTTGATGCAAGCAGCGTAACATAATCAGGCCCTTGGGGAGAACGCCTTTGGTGGCCCTCATAACAAGGACTGTAGTAGATTGGGGCTATATTGGGGTCCCCCTCTTTTGCAAACTACCATCTGAGCTGGAATGTGTCATAAATTCCGAATAGGAGGAAGGGGCAGGAAGTACGTAGTATTCATTTGGGCTGCTTTATTCGGGACGGGCCCTAGAATTTGACGGTAGCCCTGGCTCCCTCCTTGGGTCATGTGCTAATGATGCGTCTTTATCCCAAGTCTCTGCAGTTTCCCGCCCTACACCCTAAACTGCTACAGTGACAAGCTGACCGATGTACTTTAGGTGCGGGATAACTCGTGCTCAGGCATGGCGTGTAGTAATATGATCCATGAACATGGCAGACATTTGAGCCAGCTACAGTCTCAACTCCCAGTATCCCCCTTAATTCTCCTATAGAAATATCATCCCCTATATAACTCCCTTTTAAGGAGTTTTAGACTATGGTCCATTTGATCGTACCATCTCCCCACATCCAAACAAACCTTAGTTCAAGTGCTCCTAGAGCTCTGGCCACTAACTCCTGCAAAGCAACGGCAGACACGCGCTCTGGCAACTCGAGCCGCCCTCTGCTTAGGTAGAGGTAAAGTTATGACAAAACACTAGCGTTATCATCAAATGGTAAAAGAGACGATAGGATGTCTCCTGAATTTGAGCTTGAGCTCTTCCCTTCCTCTGCCTCAACCCTTGAAACTTCTATTTGAGTTACAGTCTAACTAAACTCCTAATGTCCCCCTTGATGAGCACTATAATACTCCCCTATATAACCCCCTTTAAGGAGTAGAGATTAATTATAGCTCATGTCCCTAAACCCTAAACCATAAACCCAAGCTCATATAAACCCAGCTTCCAGTTCCCTTGTCATTCTTGGTTGTAGCTTGGGATTTTCCCCATCCTAAATCCCAAGCCTCAAGCTTTCTGCAAGCCCGCCTCGTTGGGCATGCCACCAGTAAAGAGCAACCATGCGAGGACCTGGGCAGTTTGGCCCAGTTGGGGCGCCAGGGGATGGGTGACCAGGGTTTAGGGGGATGGTTGAACCAAGTAAGATCAAAATCTTCGTATAAAATACCATACCCAGAAGGAATACAGAACCTGTAATATCTTTGATGGTTGTTTCCAGGGGCTAGGTATTGAGGGCCTTGATGTTCGACTTAAGATTCTTGAAGGGTTCGGGACAAGAGTATCCAGCCAAGGAGCACCCAAGGAGTAGAGATCAGCACCTTCATCGTGTGGCATCCCGCCTGGAAGCTGTTTTGCTGAGGCTTCGGGTTTAGGATCTAGGGTCCAGGGTTTCATGTGTTTTTCTTGTAAAGCAGTACGACCCCAAGGAGAAACATGTTGGGGACTAGGGTTCCTCTACTCCAAGGGCTACCGACCTGGGCGCTCAGATCAGGCGTGAATCCTGAAATCTGGCGTCTGGAAAGGTCATCTGCTATTGCAACTTCTCCGTATAGGATTTAGAGCTTTTGGGGTCTATGCTTGGCCACAACAACAAATCCTCCTCTTGCAACTTTCTACTTCCGCGGCTGCAGCTGCTGCACTACGATTACTACAACCATTTCTTTCTCCTCCATCCCTCAACATGTTTGCGGGTCGCGGCTATGCCACTGCGATAATCATGTTGCTTCATCCTGGCCTTTGAAGACACCTGGTTGTTGGAAACGGAGAATATATATATATATATAGATAGATGGATACATCTATCTAAAATACACACTCAAGAACCCCAGTTAGAGACCGTTGACATGTAGGAACCCTCATCTTGCTGTTTGGGCAAACAAAAGACTAGGTTGCTGTTAAGGAACTTGAACTGAATTAATATACGTAGGAACTACTTACTATATACCCATTTTATGGTAACTGTATTTGAGGCCCTTAAAAGCAACCCAGTCTTTGGCAAACTCGGGGGCGGACCCAACACTTCCGGGGCGATGTAGCCAGGGCTGCCTGCGAAGGATGTCCGCGCTGAAGGATGAAGGGTTTGGGGCTTTGAGGATTAAGGGCTTAGGATTCAGGGTTTAGGGGTAAAAGGATCAAGGGTTTAGGGCTGTAGGGGGTTGAGGGTAAGGGGTTTAGGGTCTTGGGGTTTTAGGGTCAAGGATTTACAGTGGGTAGTTTAAGGCTTTCCGGCTGCTAGTGGCTTAGGGTTCAGGTTTTCATCCAGATTGTAGGGCCCAAGACAAGCTTACTATCAACTAGTTGTGTCACGCGGTGGGTCAGGTTGCATAGTTCCTAGTAGTGCTCTTCTCGCTTCTTCAGACCTAGGCAAAAGCATTTGTTCTTGTCGATCCTGGCCCCTACTACCC